ATAGTTTATTTGAAGTTATGATTCAATTTTCATTGATTTCTGGGTTATTTTTTCAGAGGGATTTTGTTGGTCAAGAACAGGTGAAAGACAAGCAACAAGGATGAGAGCCAGATATTTGAAAGCAGTCCTTAGACAAGATGTGGGTTACTTTGATTTGCATGTCACAAGCACAGTAGAAGTTATCACTAGTGTTTCAAATGACAGCCTAGTAATCCAAGATGTTCTTAGTGAAAAGGTATTTTATTCTGCAAATTTGATCTAATCTCTTCATTTATTTGCTAATGGTAAAAATTAATGTTACGCAGGTTCCGAATTTTCTGATGAATGTTGCAATATTCGTGGGGTGCTACATGGTAGCATTCATAATGCTATGGAGACTGGCAATAGTTGGATTCCCTTTTGCTATTCTTTTGGTGATTCCCGGTTTAATGTATGGAAGAGGATTGATAGGAATAGCTAGAAAGATAAGGGAAGAATATAACAAAGCTGGTATAATAGCAGAACAGGCAATATCTTCTATAAGAACAGTTTACGCCTTTGTTGGCGAAAGCAAGACGATTGCAGAATTCTCAGCAGCTTTACAAGGGTCAGTCAAATTGGGGTTAAGACAAGGTTTGGCTAAAGGTCTGGCAATCGGAAGCAATGGGGTGGTTTTTGCAACTTGGTCATTCTTGGCTTATTATGGCAGTAGGATGGTCATGTACCATGGTGCTAAAGGAGGGACGGTTTTCGTTGTCGGTGCAGCCATTGCTATGGGTGGCCTGTAAATTTCTTAACCTTTTTTGAATTATTTTTATGCTTTCTAAAAGAAATAACTTCAACATTTATAGTATTTTTTGTTGGTTTTGGTGGATCATCAGGGCACTGGGGGCTAGCTTGTCAAACCTGAAATATTTCTCTGAAGCATGTTCAGCTGGGGAAAGGATAATGGAGGTGATAAAAAGGGTCCCCAAGATTGATTCGGACAATTTAGAAGGTGAAATCTTGGAAAATTTTGCAGGATCAGTGGAATTCAAGCATGTTGAATTCACATATCCATCGAGGCCCGAAACCATGATTCTCAAGGATTTTTGCCTCACCATTCCAGCTGGCAAGACTGTGGCATTAGTGGGTGGTAGTGGCTCTGGGAAATCCACAATCATAGCACTAATGCAAAGGTTTTATGATCCTCTAGGGGGTGAGATACTCCTTGGTGGGGTCTCCATCGATAAATTGCAAGTCAAGTGGCTAAGGTCACAGATGGGTTTGGTGAGTCAGGAGCCAACACTTTTTGCTACAACCATCAAGGAGAACATTCTTTTTGGCAAGGAAGATGCTAGTATGGAAGAGATTATTGAAGCTGCCAAAGCCTCTAATGCCCACAATTTCATATCCCAATTGCCCCAGGGATATGACACTCAGGTTAGTCTTTGTCCTTTGCATCTGTTGCATACGATTGTTTGAAAACAACTAGAACGTAGTAAAAATTTCTAGATCATCCTTTAAAAGTTCATATAATTTATTCAAGCTTTAATTTTTATTTGAAAAGGTTGGTGAAAGAGGGGTTCAAATGTCTGGGGGACAAAAGCAAAGAATTGCTATAGCAAGAGCAATTATAAAAGCACCCCAAATCCTTCTCTTGGATGAGGCAACAAGTGCACTAGACTCGGAATCTGAACGAGTTGTACAAGAAGCCCTAGACCAAGCTGCCATCGGCCGAACCACCATAATAATTGCCCACCGTCTCTCCACCATCCGCAATGCTGACCTTATAGCAGTTGTCCAAAATGGCCAAGTTATAGAAACTGGATCACGTGATGAGTTGATAGAAAATGCAAATGGCCACTACACTTCTTTAGTCCACCTTCAGCAAACAGAGAAAGAAAAGAACCCTGAAGAAGCTTACTCAAATTTATCTACTTATGCTTCATGTTCAATCTCAAATACGGATATCAACAATACAAGTAGTAGAAGACTTTCATTGATTAGTCGATCGAGCTCAGCCAATTCGTTTTCTCAAAACCGTGCTCCACCGACCGGAGAATCTGTGGTGGAAGATCAAGAAAAATTGCCAGTCCCATCTTTTAGAAGATTGTTGGCATTGAACTTACCAGAATGGAAACAAGCAATCTTGGGATGTTTATGTGCAATCCTATTTGGTGCAGTCCAACCTGTTTATGCATTCTCATTAGGATCTATGTTATCAGTATATTTTTTGACTGATCATCATGAGATCAAGGAAAAGACTAAGATTTATGCCTTATGCTTTCTCGGGTTGTCAGTGTTTTCATTGCTGATTAATGTTGGTCAGCACTATAATTTTGCGTACATGGGAGAGTACTTGACAAAGAGGATTCGAGAGCGGATGCTTTCGAAGATACTCACTTTTGAAATAGGCTGGCTTGACCAAGAAGAGAATTCAAGTGGAGCTATCTGTTCTAGACTTGCCAAGGATGCCAATGTGGTATGTACTTTCTTATTCTTATGCAATAAACTTTCAATGTCATCTACTGTTGAAGCTGAAAAGAGATGGAAAGTTAATGCATTGTCTTAGTTGTTCATGTCTCCTCTATTGCACCGATTGCATAAACAATTATATCTGCTAAGCTTTGATAAGCTTGAGTTTTCCAACTTGTAACAAAGATTTTGTAGGATTTGAAGGGTCAATAATCTTAGATCAGTTCATTGATGGTTGGAAAGTGGTGGTTTTGATTAAGGAGACATTAAGCCAATAAGATCACCAAACCGGATTGTGGTTTCTGATTGTTCTCATTGTTGTTACAGGTGAGATCTTTGGTTGGTGACAGGATGGCACTAATTGTGCAAACCATTTCAGCAGTAATCATAGCTTGTACGATGGGGTTGGTCATAGCTTGGAGGCTTGCGCTTGTGATGATAGCTGTCCAACCGATCATCATCGTTTGTTTCTATGCCAAACGTGTCTTGCTTAAAAGCATGTCCCAGAAGGCTATCAAAACCCAAGATGAAAGCAGCAAGCTGGCTGCAGAGGCAGTTTCCAACCTCCGAACCATCACTGCCTTCTCGTCCCAAGACCGAATCCTGAAAATGCTCGAGAAAGCCCAAGAAGGCCCACGAAGAGAGAGTATTCGCCAAGCATGGTATGCTGGTATTGGCCTTGGCACATCACAAAGCCTAACAACTTGTACTTGGGCATTAGACTTTTGGTATGGTGGTAAACTTATGTCTCAAGGTTACATCACTGCAAAGGCCTTGTTCGAGACTTTCATGATCTTAGTAAGCACAGGCAGAGTGATCGCTGATGCAGGAAGCATGACTTCTGACCTTGCGAAGGGATCAGATGCAGTTGGATCAGTCTTTGCAATATTGGACCGGTACACAAGAATTGAGCCAGAAGACCCTGATGGTTACAAACCTGAAAAGATAAAAGGCCATGTGGATCTTTGCGACATAGACTTTGCGTACCCTGCCCGACCCGACATTATGATCTTTAGAGGCTTTTCACTAAAGATCGAAGCAGGTAAATCAACTGCATTGGTAGGACAAAGTGGGTCCGGTAAGTCAACTATCATCGGACTAATTGAGAGATTCTATGATCCTCTTGAGGGAGCAGTGAAAATTGATGGTAGAGATATAAGGTCATACCACCTTAGGTCACTAAGGAAACACATTGCACTTGTCAGTCAAGAGCCCACAATATTTGCTGGTAAAATCAAAGAAAACATTGCATACGGTGCATTGGATGAGACAAACGAAACAGAGATCATTGAGGCAGCCATAGCAGCCAATGCCCATGATTTCATTTCAGGGTTAAAAGATGGCTATCATACATTGTGTGGTGAAAGGGGAGTTCAGCTATCCGGTGGCCAAAAGCAACGCATTGCAATAGCAAGGGCCATACTGAAAAACCCTGCAATTTTACTCTTGGATGAGGCAACCAGTGCCCTTGACAGTCAATCAGAGAAAGCAGTGCAAGATGCACTGGAGAGAGTAATGGTGGGGAGAACAAGTGTGGTTGTGGCTCATAGGTTAAGCACCATTCAAAACTGTGACCAAATTGCAGTATTGGATAAGGGCAAGGTTGTGGAGAAAGGGACCCATCAGTCTTTGTTGGCTAAAGGACCCAGTGGAGCTTACTTTTCATTGGTTAACCTCCAAAGGAGACTCCATGACAACGCTGCTCACACAATCAACTAAACCTAGTTGAAAATGGTTACATTAGGCTTTTTATTTATAGTAAACCATCCAAATTTTGATGGTGAAAAGCCTAATTTATTTACAATATTCTCTCCCCAGATTTTCCTTTTCCCTTCCCGGTGCTGAAAGGGAGATGGGCAATCACTGTAATATGAGCTTTGATTTTTCAAATGCAATAATAAATGTCTATGTTTATGTCCATAATCGTATCATATAATTCTTCTCTTTTATATGGTGAAGAAATTAACTTTTCGTATGAAATTTTTGGCTTTATAATCATAATGGTTAAATCTGATTTTTATGTGTAAAGTTGAAGAAAAGAGTAAGATTAGCAACAGATTATGATGATTGCTAAACAAGTTGTAAATTCTTTAGAAGGAAATCATCATAGACCTCTCGAACATTGTTCTGGATAAAAACAGGGATCAATACTTAATATATATTCCTTAAAAATAAACGCTTATTATATCCCAAATTATAATTAATGGTACTCATAAACATATTTTAATGTTCGATAAAGTTAACAAAAATTGAAAAAGAAAGGTGAATTATCACTTCATGGTGGTCCAAGGCCTATGCCGAAGACAAATCATCGAAACCCAGCTGTACTTGTCTGTGAAGGAGAAAGAGTTGAATTACATGATGCTGGAGGATAAGACTATGCTGATGATGAGGATAGTGAAAATTCCTCAGGGTAGTGAATCTGCAGGTGGTGAGTGCTCCCATTAAGAGGTCAAGTTTTCTGCAATCTAAACTATTTATCTTCCATCACAAGGTTTTGGTCCTAAAACTAGACTTCAATATCGACAACATGGCGTTGGCCAAAACTAAGGACTTCCGATGGAAAGACATTTCCGTTGTCACAAAAAGATCTCCTCTTGCACGCTTAAGTTAAGGGTCTTATTCGGAAGAACGATACTATTGATCACAACTTCATCTTCTACAATTACAGCCTCACCTGCAACAGAAATTAAACTAATGCTCAACATGTATCGGGGATGTCATCTGTTAAAACTATATTATATCAAATCATCTAGAAATTTAGTAGTAGGAAAAGTACCAAGGATAGTAATTCCGAGCTTTGCATTGTAGTCTCCATCAGCCTGGAAATATAAGGTTAAACATCAGCCAGTTGAGCAAAATAATCTGTCTTATGTACTGATGTTCAAGCATGATCTTTCGTTAAAGTAAAATATGGTCATTTCTTCCTACAATGTTTATCAGGTAATCATCAATTAAGTTCTATACAACACCAAGGAAACAGTTTGTGCATGCTACGATTATAAACAAGACTAATTGAACACAGTATGTAATATTGTATCGGTACAAGGGTACTAGCCTGGACACGAGACCACTTCCCTATAGACGACTTCCATCCGACAATAGAATTGATAACAACTGCGTTTTCCTTCCGGGAGAAAATACACCAAATTAAACTTTTCTCGAATGAATAAATACTAGCACAGGTTCAATGCAATGGAAATTGTGATTCCCCCCCCCCCCCCAAGCATTAACTTGCTTACCTGAACTTCGACATCGTCCAAGACAATACAATTTATAAGCCTTGCCCCAGCTCCTATACGAACATTTGCTGAAATAGAGACGTTGGGGCCAATCTGTTCATGAAAGCGACTTAGCACTTGGTTCCACGATTGGGCAACAAATATCAAGAACTGCTTCAACAAAAAAGACCACCTGGAATACCTTTGCGGCCAGATGTACTTTTTCTGAGGGATGCACATAAACATCGCCAACAATCAAAGCACTTTTAGTTCCATCTCCACCAGCCAATAGATTAGCGAAAGTTAACCGAAATCGAGAAAGATAAAGACCAGAACATTTTAAAGACATCCTGTATGGATAATGCCGAGTTTAAATATGAAGAAGAATCAATGATACCTCATTAAAAAAAGGGCAACATCAATCCCAAACATTTTACCTCGGAATCTTGATCTGTTCCCAGAAATCCATGGTTTCGTATGTATATAACTGCTTCTTTCCCGCAAATGGGGACAATATATCTTGATCCAATCTAACAAAATCGAGGGGAAAAGCCCTAGCGGAAATAGATATCAGCATTAAGATTGGAACTGCAGCAATTCACAACAAATAAATGCACCCAAAAAGAAAAAAAAATATATTAAACAATTTCTTAAAGCAGAGGCCAAAAAAAAGTTATCAAAGATTAAACATCTAGTCTCAACTTTATAACGAAAAATATAAGCACAATGAGAGATATTTGAGAAAGAATGTTTCAGATTGATTGTGCACCCTGAGGAATATATATATGTGCAAAAGTTTGTTTTCTTTTACAGTAAAAAATCAATTGTAAAGTTACAAATAATATCAAGATGAATACAAAAGCCAAATTTTAAAATGGCATGTTTGTCATCTCTAAATATTTGAAAGTAAATCAGAAAAAGACAACTGTTTAAACACAGCAAGACAAGTGCGAGAGACAACCTTGTCAGAGACTGCTAATTTTGAGGTGGAATTCAAAAGGTTTCAAAACTTTAGGGACTTGTTTGCAAGTTCTTAAATAAAGAAATATTATTTGAGTAAATTATTAAATGTTGGAAAATTTATTAGTATGCTGAATTTTGAAATAAATATTGAGTTGGGGCTGAATTACAAATTTATAAAGTTAAGTGGTTGAAAATCGAAAGTTAGGAAAGTCTGAAATGAAATTATAAATGTTGGAATGTTGAGGTATTGATTTGAGCATTTTATTAAAGTGCTGAAATCTTTATAATTAATGTGAAATGATATTAATGGTGAAGGACCATTATGAACTAATTGAAAAGATTGACGTGAATTCTAAAAAGAATTCATAACTTATGACTTATTTATGTAAAATAGCAAAAGATGAAGAATTAAGGATGAAAATAAATATTCATGGATTTCTATGAGTATTTTTAGAAGTTAAAAATTTTAGTGGATATATGATTTATTGTGATATCATTTTAATTCTGATTTTTATTTTATAAATTTCCGAATGTTAAAATCAGCTTATATTAGTATGATACTAATATGTAGTTCGAACACTTTGTGTTATTATTTGATATTGTCAAACCATGACAAATCTAGCAATTTAGACGATTCGAAATGGAAAAGGAAAGCATGTGATTAGAAATATCGCGTAAAAAATATTATAGTGAGGCAAAAGTGAGTGCAATTATTTATTTAATTATTTTTGATCGAGGACGACTTGCGATAAGTCAACATCATTCCAATTTACAGTATGATTTATAAAGTTTATAAAGAATATTTTTATAATATTTTATATCAGTTTTATGAATGATTTAGGGTGTGAACTGCCCAATCATGATATTTTGATGATGAATTTAATTATGTTACATGAGCCCATTGTATGTATAATGAGAATTATTGGTACACTTTCCATGTCATTAGTTGAGTACTTATTCATTATCAACTTTGATACATTCGTGTATCAATGTTATCATATTAGCTTTGGTACATTCGTGTACCAATGTCCAACATCGTTGGTGTTCAGGTTATGATTGCACTGAAGTGCATCATATCTCAGTATCAGTTACGATTTGCACCTTGTTGTGCATAATACACACCTTACTCACGTATTTTATGTTCTCATAAATATGCATTGGGTTATGAAAATGAACATGCAAGTTGTGAATGATTTCCAGTTGACAGAAAGCATGATATGATTATTTTATCAGATATTGTTTATCAGAATATTCATGAGTTCATGATTTAAAAGAAATTTCAGGTCTCAGTGAAGAAATTGACTTGGAAAAGTTTGTTTGTTAATTTAATGTTTTAACTCGAATTATTTTATTTATGTTTATGATATTTTCAGATTTTTCTCACCTTAAATTATTATTGCCTCACTAAGTTATACTTAACACGTGGTGATTTTCATGCGTAGGTTCGATTAAGGATAAGTACGAGTAGTAAGGAGCCACCAGAGCATCTTTTTAGAAAAAACACACATATCATCAGTATCAGTAAGACATTTATGATTTTACTTTTGACTTTTAGTGGCATGTATAATTATGTCATTAGTTCTATATATCGTATTTATCTTTAAATGATATGTAATAGTAAACTAGAATTACTTTAGTTTATTTTACTTAGTATAGTTTTATCAATATTTATGCATGAAAAGAATAGTTATATTATTATGTTTTTAAAAAGATTTTACGAAAATGTATGATTTGGTAAAATTACTGATTAGCAAATAGATTTATTTTTCTACGACTAATAATTTATTTATAAGTTAAGATATTCATAAAACAAATTTTAAAGATAAAATAGTAGTGTTTTTAATTAAATTAAAATTTTAGACAAATTTTAGTTTAATAAATGTTTTACAAGTTGATGTGACATCTTTGACTCGTATACTGAGACGTATATGGGTTAAAGGTGTTACATTTTTTGGTATCAGAGTTGTAGGTTTAGCCGATTCTCGACCTAAACCGAGCCTATTTTATATCATAAATATGTACATGCCCTAAACCGATAATGAAAGTAATAATGAGGTTGAGCATGAACCTCGTCAGCAGGGAGCACATGCACAACAGGGAATGCCAGTTCTTGATTAGGGGATTTTTTTGCAATCTCTTGAGGCTATATTGGTAAGATATCAGCCAGCTGCAACACCTCCCCTTCCTCCGTCTCCACCTCCTGTACCTTCAGCTCCAAGAGTGTCAATTCCAAAAGAATTAAAGTTTGGGAGTTTCTGATTTTAAAGGTAAAGAGAATGAAGGCCCAGTTGTGGTCGATATGTGGTTGAATGATGTGAGGATTATGTTGGACAATCTTCATTGTTCTGATGAAGAACGATGGGAAGACGTAGTTTCATTGTTAAGAGGACAAACCATGATTTGGTGGACAAACATTACGACACGTGTCCCTTCCGATCAGATTACTTGGTAGTTTTTCCTAGAGGCTTTCCAGAAGAAATATATTGGAAAGCAGTTTATTATCAAGATGAAACAAGATTTTTTCAATCTGATCCAGGGAAACATATTTGTTTATGAATATGAATGCGAGTTTAATAAGCTCGTCCGATATCCTTCGGAGATGGTCCCCATAAAGAGAGATGTATGCCAGAAGTTTATTCGAGGTCTTCGCCCCAGACTAAGGGAACTTTTGTTGACTGCCAGTCTGAGTACCTTTCAGGAAGTGGTAAATAAAGCTAAGATCTGGAGATAGCACAAGAAGAAAAAGTTATGTTTAATCAGAGGAGTCAATCAAAGCGATCAGGAGGATTATCCTCATCTCAATCTAAAAGAGGTCGAGGTTCATGATATCAGTACCAGAGTAATTCAGAAGTCGATGCTTTATAGTTGTAGAGGATCTGAAGCTAAGGAAAAAGGGCGTCAGACACAGACAGTGACTACATGAGCTGGCAGATCAGCTCAGTCTCAAGGACAACACCCATTATGTTTGAGGTGTGGAAAGTATCATTCTGGTGAATGTAGAGCAGAATCAGGAGTTTGTTTTTGATGTGGAGACCCTGGTCATTATATCAGAGACTGCCCGATGGCAGGAGAGGGATTTGTTCAGACAGAGTGATTTGTGGCAATGCCTCAGAGATATAGTCAAGACAGAGGTAGAATGAGGGGGATATTCAGAGACAGCCTCCATGTCCAATGTTCGTGCTCCATCCAGAATTTATAATATCAAGACTAGTGAGGATCATGACGACCCAGAAATCATAGGATATACTTTTTATCTTTATGATGAGCTTTTTGTTTTGTTTTGGTTGATCTGGGTTCTACGCATTTCTATATTAGCTCAAATTAGTTAAAAATAAAAATAAAAATATTCAGCTAGAACCCATCAATAGTGAGATAATAACTGTAAATCCACTGGGTCATAATGCTAGAGTTACATGGATTAACAGAAATTGTCCTATAAATATTCAAGGGGTCGTATTCCCGGTGAATCTTTTGGAGTTACTGTTTTATGAGTCTGAGATTATATTGGGCATGAATTGGTTATCTCGACATTATGGTTGGGTAGATTATCACATGAAACAATTATTTATAAAGGATGTAGATGATACCAAAATAATAGTAATTAGAGAAAAAGCGAAATATTTGCCCAATGTGATATCAGTAATGACTGCAGTGAAAATGATGGGAAAAGGTTGTACAACTTTCTTAGCAATTATGATTGATACCCAGACATCTGATCGAGAATTCCAGATGTATTTCTTGATGATTTACCCGGATTACCTCCTGATCGAGAAGTGGAGTTTAAAATTGATGTTTTTTCGGGTACTGCACATATTTCAATGGCTCCAACAGAACTCGGAGAATTAAAGGCGCAATTACAAGAGCTACTTGATCAAGGTTTTATTAGACTGAGTGTATCTCTGTGGGGTGCACTGGTACTTTTTGTTAAAAACAAAGATGGATCAATTTGATATGTATTGATTATCGTAAACTGAATAAACTGAATATGAAGAATAAATACCCTCTTCCGAGGATTGATGACCTATTTGATCAGCTCAAGGGTGCTTCATTATTTTCGAAAATTAATCTTCAATCAGGGTATCATCAGCTGAAGATAAAGGAGGAAGATATTCCAAAGACGGTTTTTAGAACCCGATATGGTCATTATGAGTTTGTTGTGATACCGTTTGGATAGACCAATGCTCGAGCAGCATTTATGGATTTGATGAATCAGGTGTTTCAGTCGTATTTAGATCAATTTGTGGTTGTGTTTATTGATGATATTTTGGTGTATTCTAAGACTAAGGAGGAACACGACGCACATCTCTGTATAGTACTACAGATGTTGCGAGATAAAAAGTTATATACTAAATTGTCAAAAATGTGAATTTTGGCTGTCAGAGGTCGCTTTTATGGGGCATGTGATTTCAGTAGAAGGAATTATAGTAGATCCCAAGAAAGTGTAAGCTATAGTGAAGTGGAAAACTCCGAAAAATGTCTCTGAAGTTTGAAGTTTCTAGGGATTAGCTAGATATTATCGGAGATTTGTGAAGAATATTTCAATAATTACATATTCACTTACCAAGCTACTCCAAAAGGATGTACCATTTATCTGGACTGAAAAGTGACAAGAAAGCTTTGATATGCTTAAAAAGATCCTGACATGGGCCCAATATTAATGCAACCATAGTCAAGAAATAATTATGTAATTTACAGTGATGCGTCCCATAATGATTTGCGATGTGTTCTAATGCAAGAAGGTAAAGTGGTAGCCTATGCTTCAAGGCAGTTAAAGGAACACGAACGAAATTATCCGACACATGATTTGGAGCTAGCAGTTGTAGTGTTTGCTCTGAAGATATGTCACAACTATTTATATGGTGAGCGATGCCACATTTACACAGATCATAAGAGTTTAAAATATTTGCTCACTCAGAAAGAATTAAATCTAAGGCAGAGGAGATGGATTGAGCTTCTCAAAGACTATGATGTGATTATTGATTACCATCCTAGGAAGTTAATGTGGTAACCGACGCACTTATCCCAAAAACCTTTGCTGCTTTGAGAGCGTTAGATGCACGACTATCAATGGGAACATATGATGCATTAATTGTAGAATTGAGATTGAGACATGTCCTATTAGATCGAATCAAGGACCTTCGGAATAAAGATAAGAAATGTCTAGATAGAATGGAGCAAGCAAGAAATGAGAAATGACATATTTTTGAAATTAAGTATGATGGATGTTTGTATTATCGGAATCGAATTTTCATACCAGATGACGAAGAACTGAAGAAATATCATCTTTCCGAAGCTCATTATAGTCCTTTGACTATGCATCCATGAGTAAATAAAATGTATCAAGATTTGAAGAGTCGGTATTGGTGGACAAGTATGAAAAGAGCTATCACTGAGTTTGTTACTAAATGTTTGACCTATCAACAGGTAAAAGCAGAACACCAAGTATATTTGGGGTTGTTTCAATCTATCTCCATTCCTCGGTGGAAATGAGAACGAATTACCATGGATTTTGTGATAGGTTTACCTCTGACACCTAGTAAGAAAGATTCAATATGGGTGATTGTGGATAGATTGACGAAGATAACATACTTCATTCCAGTTCGAGAATATTATTCTATGAATAAATATGCAGAATTATATATCAAAGAAATTGTACGACTTCATGGAGTACCTATTTTGATAGTTTCAGAAAGATATCTGAGATTCACTTTAAGATTTTAAAAATCTCTGCATAAAGCATTGGGAACTAGATTAAATTTCACCACATCTTATCATCCTCAGACATATGGTCAATATGAGTGAACTATTTAGATACTTGAAGACATGCCAAGGGCGTATGTTATTGACTTCAAAGGATCATGGGAAAAATATTTGCCTTTATCAGAGTTTGCTTACAACAATAGTTATCAATCAAGTATCAAAATGACTCCTTTTGAAACATTATGTAAGAAAGTGTCGGACGCCACTGAATTGATATGAATTAAAAGATTGAGATGTAATTGGTCCAGATCTGGTTAAGGAGGTGGAAGACAAAATGAATATCATCCAAGATAATCTCAAGATAGCTGCCGATAGACATAAATCTTATGCTGATTTAAAAAGAAAAGAGATTGAATATCAAGTAGGTGACAAGGTATTTCTTAAAGTGTCACATTGGAAAAAGATTATGAGATTTGGACAAAAAGGGAAATTGAGTCCAAGATTCATTGGGCCATATGAGATTATAAAGAGAGTTGGACCAATAGCTTATCAGTTGGTGTTACCTCCAGAGATGGACGAGATTCATACTGTATTTCATGTATCGATGCTTCGAAGATATCAATTAGATCCTTCATATGTGATTACACTGGAGGAAATTGAGATTCAGCCAGACTTATCATACGAAGAGGAGCCAGTAAAGATTCTAGCACATGGATTCAATATAATCCCCTCAGACCGATGCGGATAACCCGATCCGATATGGAGTGTCACATTAGGGCCACCGGAGCGACCCACTGTAAAAATAGCAGAAAATTTAAAACTTTTATTAAAACATGCAACTCATAATTACTTTATCAGCATTCAAAAATAAAAACAAAATTTTCAGACTCATATATAAAACAAAATACAATTACATGCCCCCTAATCACATGTACCATACTCTGTAAGCAATGCCAGAAGAACTCCCTTATTGATATCAATAGCTGCACTGGTACAATTCTTTTAACCTGCAATGGTGAGTAATAGAGTGCGCTTCGGAAAGCCCAGTAATACATAACTACCTGATGATGCTAAAGGACATGTAGATAAATGGAAAGCCATAATTTCCTTATTTAATCAAATGTATACCAGTTGCGGGATAATTTGGGGTTCCATTAGTAGTTCATCAAGTAGATGCTATGAATCTCAGTTCATAAGAAACCTTTTATACTATCACGTTTTCATGAAGTTGAATAGGATGTCTAGTGTGTTCCAACAGTACGATAAAATCATGATAGGTACACTAAACAAATAATATCTCAGTAAAATCTCATAGTGGTTTAAAAACCCATCGTATAAAGAGTTAACCTAAGGGAACATCTTAGGGCCTGAGAGCCTACCCAAGAAAGTTTTGGGGCCACGAGGCCTACCTAAGAACACATCTTAGGGCCGCGGGGCCTACCCGAAAATAATCTCAGGGCCGCAGAGCCTACCTAAGAGTCACTTTAGATCCATAAAAATTTTCCAGCTTAATCGGAGATGTACTTTACAAATCAGTATCTCCAAGATACAATTTATACCATGATACAAATCCATAAGCCATCACCATTAAGTCGGTGCATCCATAAAACAATAACCATAGATTTCAGTGTTCCTCATGTTAAAACAATAAAACAATTTATTAAAATATAAGGAACACACTAGAGAATCCAAGTACTTTTCAGAGGTCTTATATAGTTATTAATATGGATAACATGAACTTGTGCAATTTGATCGAATTACAGGAGCAAAACCTTATTGAAGAGAATCGATTTCTAACCGATCTAATCAAACATCTAAGGCTGATACTTTAGAATTCCACTATGTTTTCATGTACATCAGAAAAACGTTCAGGAACCTTTATACAAAATAATTCTAGATTCGGATTTACTGAGAGTGATTTCATTACCCAAACAATCAGGGGTATTCAAAAATATACTTTGAATTCATAGGATTTCAGCCCAATTGAACCAAATGAGGTATTCAGAATCTTTTCCTTCTGCGATACTTACGTTTTCAAACATGATCGAAGTGATTTTAGATAAAAATCTAGAATCAAAGATTCAAGTCATTTACAATATATGATTATCGATCGTATTATCAAACAACTCGAGTTACACAACTCCTAGACTGATGCATGTCAACAAGTCAATTCATTATCCTTCTAGGGTATTCACTCTTTAATACCATAATGCATATCTATAGATCATATTCGTAATCATCGATGAATAGATCTTCCAATGGTCTTTATTTCATCTCCACGTTTCAACGATATCAGGAAATACGGACGCACTTGATTCATGGTTAATAACCCATAAAGACAATTCATCATGTAATTTCAACAATGTTTCCAAAGTAATCCAATCACCTAATTAATCCTCAGTCATTGAGGTTACTTGGTTCGTTTAGTAAGCAAGTCTATCCCGGTTACTTTAGAGTTTTCCAGAATAATTCAGACGTTTCTGAATTTCAAATACATATTGTACTTCCTTTCAGTTCAATTTAGTCATATAATAAAGTTATTCTGGTATTCGTGATTGATTTGTCACACGAATACCCATTTATTACTACTGTATGCGCTCTAGAGTTTAGCTAAGCCAAGTACTTCAAGAATTATCATATATCCAAATTTGAGAAGACGAACAAACATCCAAGTGGTACCTATATCATTCAGGTAATGATATAGCACTAGCGTTGGTTGATCACTTAAGCTGCGTTCCATAACTTTTACTGGTAGCACAACATCCATGTTTATTTGGATTTCTTAATTAATCCAAGACATTTACTTATTCTAGGTCATAAGGGTATTTTGGTCATTTTTGATGTTCAGTTTTATTCCATTCATTTCAAAGCTTGAGGATATCCATTCATTCCTGGCTTGGTGATATTCTTTAACCATTTCCATTACAGGGGTATTTTGGTCATCTTACAGATCTAGAATATTTCAATCATTTCCTTCCGTATGGTCTTATTATTTAATTCAAACTTATCATTTATGTCAGTCCCTTCGAACTATTCTGACAAAATATCACCATCGATAAATTATTATTCTTCATGTACTTACTCAAGTTGGAGATTTTCAGGTTAAATGCCTTCTCAGATGTTACTAACAGATTATTAGGAATTTTTTGTACAAAAATAGGATCTCAACAATCAAATCAGTAATTTATCGGTTTAAAAACAAATTCTCATGTTACTTTCTCATTCAGAGTCAACTTGGACTATTTTTACCTCTCAAGGGCATTTTCGTAATTTTTTAACCAAATAATTTCGGTATTAACTCTTAATGAAAATAATTATACTTTAGAGATCCAATGGTTAATTGCTTTCCCGAACATTCTTTGATCTCGAAATGATTCCTTAATAGACTTCTCGTATCTTGCATAAACCTTATTGGGTTAAAACCCGGTTATCCAAATTTTCTAAGCAAACTAGTATTTCTTATGCACATCTGTAGTTTTTCTCAGATTAATATATCCTTTCAGAGTTATTAGTCAACTTCCAGGGGCAATTCTTGTCATCTTACAACATAAGGGTATTTTCGTAATTTTACCCTACCGGAATATTCTCATAATTTCCCATCCAAGTACCTTTGAT